TGACTACATTCCTACATACAGTGGGACCATGGAGAACAGATGTAGCCACCCTCTAACAGAAGTCAGAGCATTTAAAAAAAAAAAAAAAAAAAAACACTTTTCTATTTCATGACATTTTGCTTTTTGTGTAGCAGGAATTCATCTCATTTCAGTCTGCTGCAAAATAAATGATGCGGCTCTGGGTTCACTGACCCCACATGTCTGTTTATATGAACTTGTGGAATGATCACTAAATGCAAAAAAGTCTTGTACTCGGAAGTCCAGAACAGGGGCGGACTGACCATTCAAGCACTCCGGCACTGCCTGAGGGCCCAGGGTCAGTAGGGGGCCCCATAAAATGCCCCTGGTACCTTTTATAGGCTTTTTGGGTGTGTTTTTTGAGTGTGGGCAAGGACACAGGGGCATGATCCCCAATTGCCCGGCGGCCCCATGAGTTGTCAGTCCACCCCTGGTCCAGAAACATGGAAGCAATAGAGTCAGGTTCTGTTCACTGTACACCCAACTGAGCTCCGGGTAGAAGAACAGGAGGCGAGTGTACTCCCAGGAATTCGGAGGCTGTTTTGGCATTTTCAGGGCGCCTACACGCTGGCATCACCATGTGAAAAGCTTTCCGTGGTGGAAGGCTCTTCAGAGGGCATCTGACCACCTGCTTTAACCCCTAAAAATCCACACGACTGTGAACTGAGTGTGGTTACAGGGAGTCCCCATTCAATTGAACGCGCAACATTCGGAAGACCGCATTGCGCACTGAATGCAACAGAGGCACAGAAAAAAAAAAACAAATCAAAAAAAATTTTTTTACTAAATAAGTGCCCAACAAGTCAAGTCTCACGGCTGTGAACCGGGGCTAAGTGTATTGTTACTGAAATTTTGTGCGTGATAACTGCTACACTTATATCCTCCTAAATAAGTTGTACCGGTTTATCTGCAGTCTTCTCTTCATCAGAAGAAATTTCAGAATAAAACAAGAATAAAACTTGTCTGAGAGTTCAGAAAGAGAAAAAAAAAAAAAAAAAAAAAAAAGAACGGAGAGCTGAAATTACATTTTGCAGAGCTCAGCAAGGACAGCTCTGACAGCTGATTGGAGGGAAGGGAGACACACCCCCTCCACAAAGCAAACAGAAACAGAGCTGAGCCTGTGAACCTGCTGGAGATCCCTCCCGTCACCTTTTTTCTCTTGGCGTCAGGAAAAATTGTCAGAAGTGGTTCATGCTGATAGAGGAAGGAGGCAGCAGACAGATATGACACTCAGTGCTATTAACTGAGACAAGTATACACTATAGAGGGATATGCTTGGTTCATATTTCACGTTTGATGTTTACAACCACTTTAAATAATACATTTCCCAAACTTTTAGCTCGCCTTTTCAGGGCACGAACTTACTTTAACCTCTTGCCGACCGCGCATAGCCGAATGACGGCTTCACCGCGGCCCTGGTCAGTTCTGGGTGGACGCATATGACGTCCTCCCAGAATGCGCTCTCCTACGCGCCCCAGGGGGCGCACCCAGACAGCGATCTCCGTGATCGCTGTGTCCTACGGACACAGCTGATCACTTGTGGGTAAAAGGCCAATCACACCGGCCTTTTTACCACGTGATCAGCGGTGTCCAATGACACGCTGATCACAGGGAAATGCAAGTGCCGGTTTCTCGGCTGCACTTTCCTCACGCTGTCAGATTGTGAGGAAAGTACTGCCGAGAAACGGCAGTTGTCAGAGCGGGGATCTGCACCGATCATCAGGGCACTGATGATCAGTGCCCTGATGATCGGTGCCCAGCAGTGACACCCGCAAGTTCCGCCCAGCAGTGCGACCACTAGCTCTCCGCCCACCCGTGCCCAGCAGTGCCCCCACCTGTGCCCAGCAGTGCCCCCACCTGTGCCCAGAAGTGCCACCCACCTGTGCCCAGAAGTGCCACCCACCAGTGCCGCCCACCAGTGCCGCCCACCAGTGCCGCCCACCAGTGCCCAGGGGTTGTGCCAGTCAGTGCCGCCAGTCAGTGCCCAGCAGTGATGCCAGTCAGTGCCGTCTATTAGTACCCATAATCAGTGTCACCTATCAGTGCCGCCTATCAGTTCTGCATATCAGTGCCGCCTATCCGTGCCACCTCATTAGTACTGCCTATCAGTGCCCTTTAGTGCTGCCTATCAGTGCCCATCAGTGCCGCCTATCAGTGCCCATCAGTGCTGCCTCATCAACGCACATCAGTGAAGGAGAAAAAATACCTGTTTGAAAAAATTTTATAAAAGAAACTTTTTTTTTTTTTTAATTTTTTGCACTTTTTTTTTTTATAGCGCAAAAAGTAAAGCGCCCCAGTGGCGATTAAATACCACCAAAAGAAAGCTCTATTTGTGTGAGAAAAAAAAATGATCAAAATTTCATATGGGTACAATGTTGCATGACCGCGCAATTGTCAAAGTGCGGCAGCGCTGAAAGCTGAAAATTGGCCTGGTAAGGAAGGGGGTATAAGTGCCTGGTAGGCAAGTGGTTAATGGTATAAATTTTTATACTGTACTTCTGTTTTCCTGATCTCTTTATAAACTCAGACTAGCATGTATATTTCTTGTTGCCCTGGCTGTATACAGCAGGATCCAGAAAGCAGTTTTCTGTTTTAGTATTCAATACTGACTACATGCACACATTTTATATTTGCAATCCAGCTTTTCTTGTTGTATGACGTTTCATGCGTTGTCCCCACACACACGGTATACGTGGTATTTATTGGATCACCGTTTAACCACCTAAACCTCCAGAAGATTTTACCCCCTTTATGACCAGAGCATTTTTCACCATTCAGCACTACGCTACTTTAACTGGTAATTGTGCGGTCATGCAACACTGAACCCAAATTAAACTTTTATTTCACACAAATAGAGCTTTCTTTGGTGGTATTTGATCACCACTGGGTTTTTTAGTAATATAAAAAGGTGAAAAACAGACTGAAAAAAATAGCTATGTTTTACTTTTTACTGTTATAAAACATATCCAATAAAAAATAAATATAAAACCTTCATAAATTTAGGCCAAAATATATATAAAACCTTTATAAATTTAGGCCAAAATGTGTTTCTGCCTCATGTCTTTGGAGAAAAAATAAAAAAATCCCAGTAAGTGTACATTAATTGGTTTGTACCATAGATATGGTGCCTACAAACTACTGGAATTTACACAGCTATGACACTATACTAGTAATGGCGGTGATCAGCGACTTATAGTGGGACTGTGATAGTGTGGAGGGCAATCTGGCACTAGCTGATGCTGGCTGGGAGGTACATTAACGGATATCAATAGTGACAAGAATACAGTGATCAGTGCTAATAATGTACACTGCCTCTATACTGACACTGGCTGGGAAGGGGTTAACATTTAAGCGCAATCAAGGAGTTAACTGTGTGCCTAACAATGTGTAATGTGTGCTGCTTTTACTGGGGGGGGGGGGGGGGGAATGTTGCTTAATATAGGTTATTGTTAATTTTTATTATTAACCTTTCATTACTAAATGCCACATTTTAACCAATACCAAAAAAGGAGTTACATACAAACCTATTATATATTAAATAATGAAAAATAATTGGTCCCAAATAGGATCTAAAATGTATCTTGGCACAGTGTCACATGACAGTAATTGTCCGTCAAACTATCACACACACTGAAAAAATTGCCCAGAAAGGAAGGGGTAATTACAGGCTGGACCCTCAAGTGGTTAATCAATGATTCCACCATCAAGCAATTCTTTATTTTCCTTCTAACCACATCCATCCAGATATAGCACCAAGGATGGATATTGGAGGATACAAATACAACCTACACTTTTCCAGGATGGTATCTCATCCACACACGGACAATTTCTTGTATGAAAACAGATTAGAACTTCCAATCTTGTATCTGATTTTGGGTAACAAGAGCCCCAGCAATGATTCAGATATTAATCAAAACTATTTATGGATCAAATTCTTTTGGCCGGGTGCCGTCTGGTGCCATCAGAAGGGAATCTGAAGAGACTCCAGGGCAGGGGCGGACTGACAACTCATGGGGCCCCCGGGCAATAGGAAGCATCGGGCCGTGTCCTCTCCCACACTCAAACCACACCCAAAAAGCCTATGAAAGGTACCAGGGGCATCTCATGGAGCCCCCTATTGATCCTGGGCCCTCGCGCAGTGCCCGAGTGACTAAATGATCAGTCCGCCCTGCTCCAGGGTGAATCAGAGAAAAATGGAGCAGATATTATTGTGCCATCCATGTCCTTTCAGTCTTCTGCATCAGGAGCCTTCCAGATCCACACCTTTGCGTGTTGCAATTGATGTGTTTTCCAGCACGTTTTTTTTTTTTTGTCCTCAATAGGAAAGTATTGACTTGATATGACTTTGAATAGGTGCAACTTCGGATTGGGTGTGAGTTGGATGAGACTTTGATGTTACTTCACACCCATGAAATGTCACATCAAAGTCAATACTTTCCTAAGACCCATCTCCTTACTCCCTTTTGTCTCCAAACTCCTTGAACGTCTAGTCTACAACCAGCTGAGCTGCCACCTTATTGAGAATAACCTTCTTGATCCCCTTCAGTCTGGATTTCGCCCACAACACTCCACAGAAACTGCTCTCCTAACCACTAAAAACCAATGGTCACTATTCCGTACTCTTACTCTTGGACCTCTCCGCTGCCTTTGACACAGTTAACCAACCCCTCCTCCCAAAAAAAAAAAAATTATATTTATATATATATATATATATATATATATATATATATATAATATAGTATATATAATATTATATTTTAATTGGTCTATGTAACTATACTCTCCGTTGGTTTGAATCTTGCCTATCTCACCGCACCTTCAGTGTGCATCACCGACAACTCTACTTCCTCATCTTACTGTCGGGGTCCCTCAAGGTTCTGTCCTTGGACCTCTCCTATTCTCAATCTACACTTCTTCCCTGGGTCAGCTGATAGCTTCCTATGGTTTCCAATACCATTTCTATGCTGATGACACACTAATCTCTCTACTTCTCAGCTCAGCCCATCAGTTTCCTCACGTATCACCAATTTACTAACAGACATATCAGACTGGATGTCACACCACTTCCTAAACTCAATCTAACTGAGCTCGTATTTCCTCCCCCACGCGCCTCTTCCCTGGTTTCTTGGTCAGGATCAATAGCACCAACCCATCCCTGCATGCCAGGGTGCTAGGGGTAACCCTAAATTCTGAACTATCCTTTCAGGCCCACATCCAATCCCTGTCCAAATTATGCCGCCTTAACCTCCGCAACATCTCCAGAATCGCAACATCTCCAGAATACACCCCTTTTTAACCAACGATACCAAAAAGCTCCTAATTCGCTCCCTGGTTATCTCTCACCTCAACTACTGCAACTCCCTCCTCATTGGCATACCTTTACATAGGCTATCCCCCCTCCAGTCCATCATGAATCCTGCTGCCAGGCTCATCCACCTTACCACCTTACCCCTCTCTGCCCCAATCCCTCCACTGGCCTCCATGCAGTGTCCTCCTACCCCTCTCTGCCAATCCCTCCACTGGCCTCCATGCAGTGTCCTCCACCCCTCTCTACCAATCCCTCCACTGGCCTCCATGCAGTGTCCTCCACCCCTCTCTGCCAATCCTTCCACTGGCCCTCCATGCAGTGTCCTCCACCCCTCTACCAATCCCTCCACTGCCATGCAGTGTACTCCACCCCTCTCTGCCAATCCTTCCATTCCGTGTCCTCCACCCCTCTCTGCCAATCCCTCCACTGGCCTCCGTGCTGTGTCCTCCACCCCTCTCTGCCAATCCCTCCACTGGCCTCCAGTGTCCTCCATCTTTGCCAATCCCTCTACTGGCCTCCAACCCTCTCTGCCAATCCCTCCACTGGCTTCCATTTGCCCAACAAATAAAATTCAAAATACTAACAACAACATGCAAAGCCATCCACAACTCTGCCCCCAGCTACATCACCAACCTGGTCTCAATATCAACCAAACCGCTCTCTTCGATCCTCCCAAGACCTTCTGCTCTCTAGCTTCAATGTCTCCTCCTCCCATGCTTGCCTCCAGAACTTCTCCCAAGCTTCTCCCATCCTATGGAAATCCCTACCCCAATCTGTCTGACTATCTCCTAATCTATCCACCTTTAGACAATCCCTGAAAACCTCTCTTTAAAGAAGTCTATCCTGCTTCTAACTAGTAATCATTTATTTCAGGGGTGGCAAACACGCGGCTCTAGAGCCACGTACGGCTCCCGGCCAAAATGAATGCGGCCCTTTTGCCTCTTATCATATTTTGTATACTGTGGCTCTTTGCCAAGTTTCATGTTTCTCTTATTTTTACCTTTTCCTCTATCGAGCGGCGCGCTGTCTTCTGGCTTCTGTAGTGTGGGGCACTGGGCATGACAGCCGGGTGCCAAGTGCGCATGCGCAAGAAGCGGTGCTTTTTGTGAATGGTAAGGCGGTACCTGGGACACATGACAGATCCCAGAAGCCGCCGGACCAATCACAAAGCGCAAGTGCTTCTCGCTCATGTGCACTGGGCACCCGGCTGTCATGCCGAGCGCCATTACAGAAGCCGGGAAGACAGCGCGCGGCTGGATCGAGGAACAGGTAAGTCAAACAAAAACTCTGCGGGTACCCGCTCCCCACCCATCCCAAGTAAGAGCGGGCAGTACCTGTCAAATTCAGGTACCCGCTCCCAATCTCCTGTACCTCTGGTCCCAAAGGTCAGCAGTCATCTGTACTGTCCGCAGTCTCTGGTCATCTCCTGTACTGTGTCCGCAGTCTCCTGGTCATCTCCTGTACTGTGTCCGCAGTCTCTGGTCATCCTCTGTGGGAGGCAGTCTGTACTGTGTCCGCAGTCTCTGGTCATCTCCTGTACTGTGTCCGCAGTCTCTGGTCATCTCCTGTACTGTGTCCGCAGTCCATTAGTTCAGAATTTTTTTTTGTATACTTGTGTGTTAGAGTGAGAGAGAGAAGGGAGAGAGAGAGAGACAGGTGCCACAACAACCTCCAGGGTAGTTGATGTGTTAACTCTGGCTAAGTTGCATTTGATGTGTGTGTTGAGGGTGGACACTTACCTTGAAATGAACACACATTGTTGTTTTGTAAGGGGAAGAAAGTGTTATGGTGAATAATATGGTTTTAATGTGTTTTTGTGTGAGAGCGTTTGTCTGTTTTGGCAGGTCACTGCGTGGTGTGTGCTCTCTGACTTTCACAAGTTTAAAATTTGGCTCTTTGTGTCTAACTTGTTCGCCACCCCTGATTTATTTCCTCCATCAGCTCACCCCCCACAGCTATTACCTTTTGTATCACTCAACCCTTCTTCCTAGATTATAAGCTCTAATGAGCCGTGCCTTCTGTATCCTCTTCTACCAAATTGTATTGTAACTGTAATGTCTGCCTTCATTTTGTGCTGAGCAAACTGTTGGCGCTATATAAATCCTGTATAATAATAATGGCAAAAATAGCATCAAAAACACACTACTACGTTTTTCTGCTGCTTGTTCATTGAAGTCTACTGAACCCAAAACTGCACGCTGTTGCATTTATACAAGTCCCTGACCTGATGTAAGTGTGGGGAGGTAACTGTGATGGGAGCCCTGAATGCGGGGGGGGGGGGGGTCCGGTTGGACTGATGATGTGAAACCACATGGGGACCCAGATGTAACAAGGGCTTTTGCAGGTACCATGATACAAGAAGGGCTGTGATGTACAGGGAAACTCATTAAAAGTCACATAAAAGGGGCATCATAGTCAATACATTCCTGGTGGCCACCCCCCCCCCCCCCCCCCCCCCCCAAAAAAAAAAAAAAAAAAAAAAAAAAAAGTAAATAAATAATGAATCAAGAACGCACTACACTCTGTCCATTAAAGGCTATTGACCCTTTCCAAAAAAAACGCAGCAGCTGAAAAAACACAGATGTGAATGTGTCCCATAGGGAATCATTTTAATGGGATTATAGTGCGTTTCTGCAAAACTCCTATGTATTAAAAATCCAGGATCTATGGGCAGCTGGATGCAGTCCATTTCACCTTGGTTCACATGTGCGGGCTGCGCCCTGTGGGTAGGGTAGCCAATTCATTTCAACAGACCCCCTACTCGCAGAACATGGGGGGAAGCCCCCGACCCTTTTTGAAAATCGTGCTGCACAGAATTGCAGAATGGCACGAGCAGCGATTTAGTGTGTTCCCGATCCACACAAGTGTGACCCCAGCTGCGGTACGTGACCTATCCCTGACCAAGGCTGCCTGTGCTCCAAAAAGTGTAAGGTGGGGGGGGGGGGGGGACTCTGATGTAAAAGGAACTTTTGCACGTACCATGATATAGGAGGGGCTGTAATGTTCAGGGAGAAGAGACTCGGGGGGGGGGGGGAGAACCCCTGATGTAAGGTGGGGAGAAACCCCCAATGTAAGGCGGGGGGGGAGAAGAACCCCCGATGTAAGGCGCGGGGGGGGAAAGAACCCCCGATGTAAGGCGCGGGGGGGGGGGGAAAGAACCCCCGATGTAAGGCGCGGGGGGGGGGAAAGAACCCCCGATGTAAGGCGCGGGGGGGGGAAAGAACCCCCGATGTAAGGCGCGGGGGGGGGGAAAGAACCCCCAATGTAAGGCGCGGGGGGGGGGGAAAGAACCCCCAATGTAAGGCGCGGGGGGGGGGAAAGAACCCCCGATGTAAGGCGCGGGGGGGGGAAAGAACCCCCGATGTAAGGCGGGGGGGGGGGAAAGAACCCCAATGTAAGGCGCGGGGGGGGGAAAGAACCCCCGATGTAAGGCGCGGGGGGGGAAAGAACCCCCGATGTAAGGCGCGGGGGGGGGGGAAAAGAACCCCCAATGTAAGGCGCGGGGGGGGGGAAAGAACCCCCAATGTAAGGCGCGGGGGGGGGAAAGAACCCCCAATGTAAGGCGCGGGGGGGGGGAAAGAACCCCCGATGTAAGGCGCGGGGGGGAAAGAACCCCCGATGTAAGGCGGGGGGGGGAAAGAACCCCCGATGTAAGGCGGGGGGGGGGAAAGAACCCCCGATGTAAGGCGGGGGGGGGAAAGAACCCCCCGATGTAAGGCGGGGGGGGGGGGAAAGAACCCCCGATGTAAGGCGGGGGGGGGGAAAGAACCCCCGATGTAAGGCCGGGGGGGGGGGGGGAAGAACCCCCGATGTAAAGGCCGGGGGGGGGGGGAAGAAAGAACCCCCGATGTAAGGCCGGGGGGGGGGGGGGGGGGGGGGAGTACCGCCGATGTAAGGCGGAGGGAAGGACCCCTGTAGTAAGGCGGGAGGGGGGAACCCCTGATGTAAGGCAGGGGGGAAGACTCTGATGGGGACCCTTGAGGGTAAGGCAGGGGGGGGGGGGGAGGACCCCAGACGTAAGGCGGGGGGGAGGAGAACCCCAGACGTAAGGAGGGGGGGGGGGGGGGAAGGACCCCAGGTGTAAGGCAGAATAGGGGATCCCTGATGTAAGGCGGGGCGGGGGAGGAGTTCCCCTGACGTAAAGGGGGGGGGGGACCCCAGATGTAAGGCGGGGGGAAGACTCTGATGGGGACCCTTGAGGTAAGGCGGGGGGGGGGGGGGAGGACCCCAGACGTAAGGCGGGGGGGGAGAGAAGGACCCCAGATGTAAGGCGGGGGGGAGAGAAGGACCCCAGATGTAAGGCGGGGGGAACCCCTGATGTAAGGTGGGGGGGGGGGGAAGACTCTGATGGGGACCCTAGGGGTAAGGCAGAGGGGGGAGGACCCCAGACGTAAGGGGGGGGGAAGGACGCCAGATGTAAGTCAGAAGGGGGGACCCCTGATGTAAGGCGGGGGGAGAGAACCCCTGATGTAAGGCGGGAGGGAAGACTCTGATAGGGACCCTTGAGGTAAGGGGGGGGGTGGGGTGGGGGAGGACCACAGACAAGGCGGGGGGAAGAGAACCCCAGACGTAGAGGCGGAAGGGGGGACCCCAGACGTAGAGGCGGAAGGGGGGACCCCAGACGTAGAGGCGGAAGGGGGGACCCCAGACGTAGAGGCGGAAGGGGGGACCCCAGACGTAGAGGCGGGAAGGGGGGGTTGGTGGCGATCAGGAAAGTCTGCCCCTGGGACAGGACACTGCGGTAATCATTGATGGGTCTACAGAGGGGAAGTGGCCGCAAAGTGTCTGCAGGAGACTCGAGCAGTCCTGGTCTCGGAGTGGAGGGGTCACCCGGGTCCGGGGCTCATACTCCGTATAGTTCAGTAAATGTCACTCTGATCTCGGGGACCAGGAGGGGAGGGGAACCATCTCCTTAAAGGGACCGTCACCCTATAATGCTGACACTGCGATGACAACATGACTCCCCCCCATCCATCCATCCATGTCATGAAGGCTCGGATCCCCAGCCATCCCTCCGCACACTGTCAGCCCCTCCATCACCAGCACTGCCCTCCGTCCCCGGGTATGGTACCCCCAGTGTTGTCCCCTCCATACCCGGCTCCACTTACCCCACAGCCCCGTTCCTCCTCCTCCGGGCTCATCACCCACAATGAGAGCGGACCACAAAACAAACTAGTTCCCACAGCGGGCTGGGAAGACTGGCATCGCCGCGCAGCCAATGGCCGCACAGAAGGAAGGGGAGATGGGAGCGGCGTCTGCTGGGGCATCCAATGAGAGGTGGGGGGCGGGTCGGTGTGGGA